ATTGGCCACAAAATAACATTACCAACGCTGCACAAACAAATATCAGATTGCTTTTGTTATCATTTTAATCATAATTAATAGTGATGTGTCAGTCGCTGAATAAGTATAATTTCGCAATATAAATTGAATTGATAAGAATAAATAAATGCGCCTTTTATATTATATAATAATAATGCAACAAATAGCAAATGAATCACTACATAGTTACTTAGTAAATAGTTCGCTAATATGGTCGACGTGTTTTGTTTTTTTTTAACTTCAAAAGTCAAATGTCAAAACTAGTAGGGTTAGGTTTGATGCAACTAATTGGATGCTCTTAAATTCTAATTGGAGCAAACTGCTAATGGATACCAACGTGCATATAAAATTCGAATTAACAAAAAAAAAATTGTGTAAATTAATATACAAATTTCTTTATTTGTATAATATATATAATATGTATATGTATGTATGTAAAAAATAAAATGCCGGCTACGTAAAAAATGTTTGCTTTATAGGAGCCTGACTTCATACAAACTATAATAACATTTGTGACTAATGACCAGTTCGGCTGAATACAAGCGTATAGAACGATTGTGAGGTACCGAGATACCAGATATGCAAATACAAGTACATACATACATGGCAATAGCAAATGAAATATATTTTTCATACCAAAATTTGCCGCAAACTACGCTAATGGCTACAGATTTCGTTGCTCTTTTCGTTTTCCATGCAGCAACTTCAATAGCAACAATAACAAACTGTTTACGTTGCCAACAAAAAGTCTTAAGTTATAGTATATAGAACTGGTTAGAAGTGGTTTTAAGCGGTTGCCATGAAGTGTATATTAAGCGAATGAATGTACTGCAGAAATGGCTAAAATGAAAACCACAAACAAAATACCTTCCCAATAGGCGTAATGCAACCCTATAAAAAACAAAAAAAAAATATTAACCTGGGTTGAGCATATCCATGCTTACTTGCTGTTACATAGGGAGAAATTTCGCAAGCAGTAAATTCGTTTGACAAAACCGCAAATTCAAAAAAGCGCTCGAGCTGAATTTAAATGTTGAAAAAGTGTTGAATGCGGTGGCAGCTACAACTTCTTTGACAGCGCTGCAACCAAATATATGATAATAATATTTAGGCGCTTTACACAAAAATAATCAAAATCCTAAATACAAGTGACCCCGATCGCTTTGACTGACTGCCTTTCTTTATTTCACTGCATTGTTTCCCTAAGTTGCTTTTTACTATCGTTCTTGACTTTCACAATACACATTAACACGCTCAAAACGATCAGCAAAAATATAAACTTCATGACTGCACCAATGTTTGCCACTTCTCTCTCCCTATGCTATAAAGAAAATTTGGAAAATTCTCTAAGTTGAATTAATACACTAAGCAGAACTTTGTGTTCCATTTAATTTCCTTATGTTAATAAACTAACGAAAGAAAGTGCAATAAAAAAATTTGAAGGCTTAGTGTGACAGTTGGTCGAATAGTTAGTCAGCGTTTATGGCATTAGTAAACAAAGAACATATGGAGTTCAGCAAGACTTGAAATATATGCACATATACATACGCGCAAACAGACATCGGCAGTGACTGGTGGCTTGGATGTTTGAGCAAAAGCGCTGGTGAAGTCAGTGATCCGGCCAGCTGGCAAGCCAAACAACTACACTTGCTACGTAACCTAACATACACATATAAATGTCTAAGAGTATTAAACAAAATCACGAACATATGCAATTACAGTGAGCAGCGGCGACAACGTGAAAATAAAATGCCTTGCTAGCGCCCATTGGCCGACTTGTAAGAAACGCTCAATTGCTGCCAAATGAGTGTTAGTAGGTAGCAGTTAAAGATATCTACGTATAGGTACATGAGTGGTAGTTTAAGTATGTACTCACTTGTAGACCATGGCATTGTCGCAGCGATCATCGAATGCGTAATCGAAACGGAATTTATGATTTTCGAGGAATTTAGTTAGATCGACCTTGTTGCGTGGCTCATGCACGATGAGCGTGTCCTTACGCGGCACTGAAATAACGTCGATCTCCTTCCGTGTTATCTCTTTGCGGCTGAGCGGTCGCTTACGCACACATACTGTGATTTGATGATCCTCATAGACTTGTCCGTCAACAAGCGGATTAAATTCTAAGGTGTTTTGATATTCACGTATCATTTGTGCGGTTTCCCAATTAGGATTTCCTGGATCTTGATTCATGAGCGCATTTTTTTCCTCTTTCATTTCTGCTTGACGTGCACGCCGCTTCTCACGATTTTCCTTCAGTCGTTCAACTTCTTTAACAACATAGGAACGCCGTGCGCCCACATTCCCTGCCACTGAACTAGATGCAATTGAAGAGGAATTGCCGGCGCTGGTACTCATGGCGATGCCACCGCCACTGCCGGTAGCTGAGGCCAACCGTGTTGCATTATTAGTAGTTCGCGAGCGCACTATACCCGTTGTCGGTGGTGGTGGTATATTCTCCGAATGTTCCGAAACAGCGGACGATGAGAGTAAATTGGTGGCGTTGATGGTGCCTCGATTGGTACGATGTCCGATTGCGCCTTGCGTGGCATTGCGTGCAAGATTTATGGGCGCAGTCGCTTGTTTCTTCGGTTCAGGCGCGGCATTTTGTTCCGGTTCGGGATCTTGTAAGATTTCCGGATTCAAAGACAGTATAGCATCCAATTCGACTTCCTTGCCTTTAGTTTCGCCGCGTTCGTACCATTCCACGGTTATCGATTTGCCAGACTCGTTAATTTTCGACACTACTGCGGCATGCACACGGCCATCTGTGCGCTTAATTTTAACACTTTGCCCAACTGAAATGTATTCCATTGTGGGAGTTGGAACTTGTCCACTTCTGCGACTGTGCAACTACAGCTAATCTTAAATGTTATTCCTTCTACCGCTTAGTTTGCGGCTTTTAATGTTTTCTTTTTAATTTTGGGCTGTGGTGTGCACTTTTCAATGTAGTGGAGCGATTTTTTTTTTTGTTCTTTTTTGATTTTTGTATGCGTTGAATGACTGCAAACGAAAGGGCACTTACTGCTACCTTCTCACCACATCAATTCGATTTCCGATATTTTTAAGCTTCTTGTTTGTGTCTTCTTACCAATGTATTAATTGAATTCTATATTTTTATGGATATTTTCTATAGGATTTATTTCGATTTTAACACCTCAGCGTGGGGGTTTCACTAAAAAAAAATTTTTCCGTTGTGACGATTACTCACTCACTAAGCTCGACTGGCTTCTTTGGCAGCGGTTGTGTATGGCTTTTCAAGCAAGAAACAACAGCAACGTAGACGATATAAACAGCTGCGCGACGCGCGGTGATCCGGCGGAATTATTCACTCGTTGAATTGTTGCTCGTTTTCTAGTGTTCGTTCTTTCTCTTTTGCTTCTTTTTCTACTCTTTGCTGTGGTTGTTGTTACTTTTGTTAGTGCAGTCTATTGTTGTTGGTGTCGCGCAAATTCGCTGACGATTCGAAATTCAACTGACATTCGAGACTCGAAGCGGCAAATTGGAATTCGTTATTCGTCTTTTTTTTTTAGCAATTTCTTTAAATAATAGCTGTTATTTTACTTTTGTATTTTTTTTTCGTATTGGCTGCTACCAGTGTTGTCCAATTTAAACCACACAATAACGTTGCAAATGGAGCTTCGCAGTGGGAGATTTGTAAAAATTATGATAATGAAAGAGAAAGAAAATGCAATTAAAGATTTTTTTGTTTATATTATTACAAATCTTTTAGTAAATTTTGATGCAAAATGCAAAAGATATGTTTTCGATAAGCGAAACAGTTGTAGATTTTATTTTTAACTGACAAATATTTCTTTTCGATTGCCATTAATCAAAAGGTCTGTTTCTTTTTACAAAAAGTTGACACTTTATTAACAGTGTTGTTAAACGATTGTTAATGCGACATTTATTATTCGTATATTTTTATTCATTCTTCGTTAAAATTTTAAACATTAACTTTGTAATCGCACTTTTTAATATTTCTTGCTATTATGGCATAATTTCGCCTCGAGACAACCCACACAGATTACAATTATGTGTGTACGAAATGCCTTTGCCCATGTTTCTCATTTCGTACAGATTCGCTATCGCATTTTCAGCTGATTGACTATTCGCAATTGTACAATGCAAATACACCCTTAACTAATGCCGCAAAAATAAAATATATGTAGAACACACTTTTTGGAATAGCTTAGCCACTTAAATATTATATTATTAAAGAATTTTCGCACACCCAAAGCGTTGAATATTTGGCAACAAAGCCAAGATTTGAAAACTGCAATGACGGCATGCAGCAATAACAAGACGTTAGCAACGCCAGTTAAACAACAAAAAAAAACACGAAAAACTATTTGTGGGTTGCGGGCTTTTAAATTTAAAACCGACATTAAAACACAGCAGTGCACTACCAAAGTCAATTACACATTTGCGTATTTTTCTTAATTGCTAAGTCACTAAAATATCTAAAACTCACAATTTACAAATGATTTTTAACTTTATTATGACCAGATGTCACTGTAAATGTTGCGACGGTTATGGCTGACAAAAATTAAGTGCAAGAAAAACTTCAAAAGCAATAATAACAGAACTGCATATGTGTGCGAAGTGACAGTTGGAGCGATTTGAGTGGAAATCGGAATCATTGCAAAAGCAAATGGTCAAATGTGTGAGCGAAAGAGTGGGAAGATGTAGTGGTGCGAATGAACGCATTGTAGCAGCTGATATATTTTATTAGCGGAAAATGGAGGAAAAAGATATGGACCAAATAGGGTAATGCCAGATAGCTTTTAGAAATATATTTTCTGAAAATAATTGGTTTGCATTGAAGTCAACCATATGTAATTCACTTAGATACATTTACGCATGGAAATTATGTTAATATGACAAATTAAAATATTAGAGTGATTCGTAATTTATGAATTCGATAAGTCAATGTTTTGCCGATATTATATATTCCACTGCAACCCTATGGCTAATGCATTCGTACGCGCGCTTTTCGTCTTAATATCATATACGTTCTCTGTCTTAACTCGAATTTCTCGTTCGTAATCTTGTTCGTTGTGGCATTTTGACGTTTTTGTTTTGCGCAAGCATTCGCGCCGTTTTGGCAATCACTCGCCCCCCCTGTATAGAACGTCTAAACACTGGATACTTCTGCTTCTTCACACACAATTTACGTTGCTTTTTTTCACGCAATTGCGTTTTCCCCCACACGTTCGTAACGAAAATTCAGCAAAAAGAGTAAAAGTACCTGCGTGGAAGACAAAACGAGAGCAACGAGCAGAAAATTTTCATTTCTCATTTTCAAGTGAATTGCATTGTTTTCTTTTTGCAAATTATAAACGTGAGTGCGAGTTTTTATTATCAAAACACAACAATATATTTGAAAAAGTGTTTAATTTGTTGTTTTACGTGTAGCACACTTGCCACAAACCGTCACCAGCGATATGGATATCATGGACATACAAGCTGTAGAGTCCAAATTGAGTGACGTCACAGTGACCCCAATACCGCGTTCACAAGTACAAAATTTTTACAATTATCAGCAACAACGAGAGCAGCGCGAACAACAACCTCAAATACAAATCTCCGCCATTCACCATCCACCTCGTGATCGCAGTGGCGGTGCGAGTTCCAGTTCCTCAAGCGCCACCACGGTGCTTGACCTGCATCACAGTGTGCTCGGCGGTGGTGGCAGTGGCAAAAGTAGTGGTAGTAGCGGGCGTGAACTGTATAGTAAGCGTGAACGGGACTATCATCAGCAATCCACAAGCACCTCAGCTGCTGCTGCAGTTGCAGCTCTACAGTACACACAACAATTGCAAGCGCAATTGGCGCTTCTACAGCAGCAATCGAATACCATCGCCTCACCCGCCTCGACGCAACGTGCCAGCCATAGTAGCGGCACTGCAAATAGTAGTGGTCGCAGTAATGCTATTGGCAGTGGCAGTAACATTGGTGTAGTTAATGTTGGTAACGGTGGTATGAGTGTCGGTGGCGCTTTGGATGTGAGTAGCAATGCAGCGGCGATACTAAGCGCCGCACAATCGCAACTAAAGTACCCACAATCCACGTCGCCCGTCATAACTACGCAAACATCGTCTAACATAACAACGCCAATGACTTCCACGGCCAATTTGCCCACGGCGGGCACGTCAGCGGCCAGCAACGGGCTGAGCAAGTATGCTCAATTGCTGGCGGTGATTGAGGAAATGGGACGTGATATACGGCCTACATATACAGGTTCACGTAGTTCAACTGAGCGTTTGAAGCGCGGTATTGTGCATGCACGTATCCTGGTCCGCGAGTGCCTCATGGAAACAGAACGTTCAGCCCGTCAATGAGATATGGCGATTGACGCAGACGGCGGCGGCGTAAGAGTAAGCGATAGCGTTGGTCTGGGATACGATGGGCTTACTGCCGATAAGTGTGGGGACAGATGTAACGTAAACAGTGGTGGTGATGGCGCCGTTAAATAGTTTAATAGTTAGTTAGGATTTAGATTAGTATAATTATGATCTGCGAAGTTTCAGTGTTTACGAATCGATGAGACAGCTCAACATTTGTTTTCTTTATCTTAGCATATATTCATTAAATTCTTACTTTAATTGAATTTCTATGCCTGTTTTTATTGCATGCAATTAATTTTTAATAACTGATAAATGAATTTGTGAGAATTGTGTACTGTCAGCCAAGGAGGATAAGTGGTTCATTCAGCCTTTAAGCTTTACAAAAGCGTGAGCGTTCGTGTTTCATTTCGTATAACTTATTAAGTTTTCCACTTTTAATTATTAATATGCAATAGTTTAAATACAAATGAATGTTTTTATTTATGATTTTAAAATAATTTAAATAAATTCCAACACAAAGTTTTATTTAAAATTATCTTGTTGTTTTTTTTTTTATGAATTTTTAACGGTTTTTTTTATAATATTGCAAAAATAGACTAGCTCAGGTTCCAAATAAATTCAAATGCTGCAAAGCATACGCATACATATACCTATATAGTACATGTTTACAGCCATATACACAATTTTTTAGTAAAACCAAACAAATAGTAAAGTTTATAAACAATAAGTAGCGAAAATGTTATGCGATTTAACTAACAATATACATACTTACGAGAAAAAATTCATAAATAAATACTTTTAAGCATATACCATATGTGTATGTATTTGCGCCTACCCAGATTGTATATTGCAAATATCATAAGCGTATGGATGCATGCATAAATATTTTATAACGCGAGAAACTACTTCGATAAATACAACAACAAAATATGTACTAAGTAATTAAAATTGTATACTGCTTATAAACAGTTTATCAAATAAGTACTTTAGTATTTATTAAACGCAAGCGACAACAAAATAAAAACGCACAACAGAAATATCGATAACACAATATGCTGAACTGTGGCGATCGCTAACAGACACGATCAGCTGGTGCATTGTTTGGTTTATTTAACTTTAAAATCATAACCAAACTTAAAAGGCATAAATATAGTAAGGAATAGCGAATAAATTACTAATTCAATTATTTTATACCGTCAGTTAACAGTATGGAAAACCAAATCTAGTTATTACCTCAACAGCAAGTAGGGAATTTCAAATTGCAGAAGTACAGGGTGTTAAATATTAATTGAAATATGACATATAGACGGTTCCGTTGCGCGGCGGAAGCGAAAAATATAATAAGTGTCATATATACAAATACATATACATGCATATAAATAATGTACATTTGTATATATATTAGGGAATACGCTGCACTATGGGATTTTATTAAACTGAAAACATTTTAGTGAACATTAGCCGAAAATATTAGTAAGTAACACATACATGTATACGAGTTTGTACCCAAAATTATTGTACACAAGTAAAACAAGTAAATAATTTAATAACTACAAGTATATAATGTTTATAGTAAAAAATAATAATAATAAAGTGACAAGAGTAATTGGAAAATGTGTATTAATGGCAGAAAGATCTCTCAATAAAAGTATGATTAAATAAATCTTCTAAGCAGTGGCCTTGAGCACAAACATAAAGCTATAAGTAACTAACGAAGTCTTTTGTAGTTGTTGTTTGTAGTCTTGGCCGGTGGCTACACGCAAGTTGTTGTTTACAACAACAAAACACAGCATCACAGGTTATCACTCAACGCAGGCAAACTGCGCATAACTATTTAAAGTTTATGTTCGATTTATTTTTTCACATTTGAAGTGCTTTGATAATTATCTAACATATACATATAAACATAAAATCTCTCTAATTTAACACTTTTTAAAATAATTTCCTTATAATAAATGTTCACTAGACGCTTTTAGCAATCGTGTCGTTTACAACAATCTGGATAGGGTTTGGTGTTATCTTGTGGTATCGTCTTGCAGTTCGGTGGTGGTAGCGACTCCGCGCAGCTAAAAGGTAAACAATATTATTTAATACTATTTAGGAATTCTTGAAAAAAGTATGAAATAAACCTCACCTCTTCGCTGATATGCTGCCCTCAGCATCGCAATGGTAAATCGCGCATTCGCCAGGATTTTCGAAGTTTTCACCAATATTAAACTGACGCTCGCCGAATTCGCAGTCAGCTGTTTGAGTGCAAAAATATTTCGATAAATCAGCAATTAGCACATTTCTGTTACTTACCTGCTTGACCAAGGTCACAACAGAGTAGTAGAATAGCAGCGACTAAGAGAGGCTGCATCGCCATTACGCATATGCAGTAGCAATGTATGTCTGCGCGGCGCAAAGTACAATAAGAAACTGTGCGATTTGCGTCGGCTACTTTGACTTTATGCATAAAAATCAATTTGCATATTTAAAATGTCAATATTTAACATTTGCAGCAGCCAGTGCAAACGAAGAAGTCTAGGCGAGTTTAATTGATTGTGGAATAAAAAAATGTTAACACTTGTGTGCAATTTAATAGCTTTGCAGCTGTGAAATTACCATCTCATTGCAAATACTATAAAAAATTCAAAACAATCTCTTTGATGTTAATATTTTTTACTTCAGTGTCGCTGTTAAGCAAACAAGAAATTACAGTTAATTTTTACAAATGAACAGTAAAAAGATAAATAGCTGCTATTTATAATTCACGGTGCTTTTAAATAACAATGACATATTCATAACATAGAACATGTTTTACAGCAAAAAAAAATTTAAAAAATAAAAATAAAAAGACAATAAAAAAAATAAAAAGTAACAAAATAATACTAAATAAAAAAAAAATATATATATAGCTTTTAATTAGAAAAAGTTTGATTACGATGTTAATACGGTGTAAATAACTTCCAAGAGCTTTTAAGTAAAGATTACAGCTAACGGTATTTTGTCTAAGCATTTTGCAATGTAGACCAACAGCTCGAAGTCAGACCGGTCAGATACTTCTTTGAGCTTTTGAAGCGGTGTCATGCGCGTTTTGTTATAAAATAGTCGGAGAAACGGTTTTCTTCGATACAATTTTTTTTAAATAAGCTTTTTTCAAAGCTTCATTGTTCAGAAAGTCGAACAATAAAAGACTTGTGAGCGCTGGTTAAAATGGTCGTGCAAAAAGAGATGGAAAAGTTTCTTTAAATGAAAGAACGCTTTTTGGAAAATAAATAAGTTTTAAAAAAGCTTTTTTAATTCAGAGCGCAGCAAAGTTATACGAGAAAAGCTTCATTGGTCAGAAAGTCAGTACTAGTGAATTTTGGTTAAAATAGTCGAGGCAAAAAAGATGGAAAAGCTTTCTTAGATGAAAAGGCTTTTTTGAAAATAAAGAGTTATTCAAATAGGTTTTAATTAATTAAGAGTAATAAAGTCATAAGAGATCGTGCTACATACACACAAAGCTTTTGAAATTATCTTAACTTTGTACTTTTTGGTTGGAAAGTCCAACATTATTGCTCTCTTAATGGAATTATGAAGCAAAAGCTATATGGTACAGTTTCACTCTCCACCGTCTTACTAATCTAATCTTCCCAGAAGGGGCGAATTAAGTAAATTGTTTTTTTCAGTCCGCACCTGGTGTTACATATCGAGTTCAAGCTCACTTTTCCCCCCACTTGAGTCCATGTAGTGCCAATGCACTTTGTTTTTGTTGTTATTCAACGCGTTTAGACTTTCTTGCGCAAATGCATACATACATACATATGTGTACGATTGTAATATGGATTGTGTATGTTTGTATGCGTGCGCCGTTACCCTGGACTTTTTAATGCTGTTGTCTTATTTGCTTAGTTTCTAATTGGATTTTGAGTTTGTATGTAACTGTCTGAAACGTATTGAGGAAAACAAGCCTGAATGGCAGCGTCAACACGCAGTCGCGTAGTCAAACATCCGCGCGTCGCGTACCCCCTAACGGTCAGCTGTACTTAATGCATTTTTACAAATCACAAAAGCGTAAAATTCGAAAGTTTTCGCATTGTTTTCCGCTGATGTTGCCACTGCTGCCGCACTGCACCTTATCCATATTATTTGCAAATTGTTAATGCTACAACTTTATTGTTGTTTTGTAACTAATTTTTTTATTTTAGTTTGGTTTTTTATTATCGCTCTTTGCGTGACGCCATTGTAATCGCATTTACGCTGCCGTCGGAAGTTTCGACTTCGCCTATCATTACCACCAATTAGAGTTTTGGCACCTTTGCGTATCGTGTGTTCTCAAGGGATTCCCGCTTAGTTGTTATGACAATCCGAGGATCTCAACTCTACCGTAAGAGTTTCCGATTTAAGAGCTTAAGCTCGCTTGCGATCTTTAGATTTTTTGTCGGTGCTACTTTTCCACCTTATCGAAAGCGCTTGAGCTCAGCCAGCGATGATATTTAGCCAGGTCAACTTTTGTTTACATTTTCCGAGGTCAATGAACTCTTGGTTTACATTTTATGAGGTCAATGAACTTTTTGTTTACACTTAGCCAAGTCCACAACATTTGTTTACATTTAGCCAAGTCCACAACCTTTGTTTACATTTGGGTTCATTGACCCTTTTGTTTACATTTTGTGAGGTCAATGAACTC